CCAGAGGACAGGGGTTTGAATCCTAGCATTCACATGGTGGCAGCTCACAGCAGGCCGTAACTCCAGTTCCAAGGGACCCAGGGCCCTCTATTGGCCTCCCTGAATACTGCATGCATGTAGGGCACAGACATACATGCAAGGAAAATACCCAAACATTAAAAAAAAAAAAAAAAAAAAACCCACTTAATCTTTTTTTCTTTTTTATAAAAACATATACCGGTTGGTGGTGGCACATGCCTTTAATCCCAGCACTCGGAAGACAGAGGCAGGAGGCCTGGTCTACAGAGCTAGTTCCAGGACAGCCAAGGTGGTTACACAGTGAAACCCTGTCTTGAAAATAGGTAGGTAGGTAGATAGGTAGATAGATAGATAGATGATAGATAGATAGATAGATAGATAGATAGATAGATAGATAGATAGATAGATAGATAGATAAAGATAGATAATAGATAGATAGATGATAGATAGATAGATTAGATAGATAGATAGATAGATAGATAGATAGATAGATAGATAGATAGATAGATAATAAAACATACACCATGTCCAGCCAGATGGCTCAGCAGGTAAAAATACTTGGTGCACAAGCCTGACAACTGGAATTCGATTCTTGGATCCCACATAAAGACTCAAAACACTGGAGGCTTTCGTGGCTTGCAGGAGTCCTGGCCACTCAGCAGCCATTCAGCTAACGCATGAGAGTCACTGTTCAGCCCTCTAGAGGGGGCTCAAGTTCCTCTGTCATCCCCAGACTGAGCTGGAATCATTTCTGGGACCTTTCCCTCTCTAGTCTTCCCCACTTATCCCTAAGGGGTGACAGTCCAGAAGTTTCTAGACCTTCTCCAGGTGACAAAGGACAGGACTACTCTAGGAAGGAAGTGGCAAAACCTAGCTTCCAAGACAGGCATGCAAGATGTGAGTTTGGGATGATCAGACCCATAGAGCTCCTGGGAACTGGGCCAATGCTTGCAAAACCCAGTTGTAAACAGGGCATGGCTTCTCAGGAGCAGCTAGGGCTTTCTGCAGAAGAGGGTGTCTCAGGAAGGAGTCATCGTCACAAACCGGAAGAGAGGGAGACTGTGGCTTATGGGGAACTGCATGACTCATCGCTGGCCCTGCCAGCTGCCTCTTTAAGTGCTGGACAGCACAGGGCTTGGGAACACAGGTGGAAGCCCCTGTCTAGTCCCCTCACCAGAGGAGGCCCCAGGCAGATGAAGTGGTTCTTAACTCGGACATATCACTTAATGTTTTCGCCATCTGAACGGCGGTTACCTTAGAGAATGACCCCACTATCGCTGAGCACACATGAAAAAGGGGATGCAGGAGATGAGGGTACAGTGTGCTGAGTTCAGCAGGAGTGACCCTGAGCATGCCACATGCCCAGCACTAGTCATGAGCTGGCACTCAGCAAGGATGTGTTGGATTCTTTTTCTGTTCAACCCTCCAGCTTAAGTAAATAAGGACAGGAACCAAATAAGCACATGCCTACATGTTTTGATGACATTCAGTAAGCCTCAAGGAACAACCTCAGGACCAACTAGCCATGTGTACTTCCTCCTCCTGGCAGCCTCCCAAAGCCTCCGCAAAGCAGGTTTCCAAGGGAGCTGGATGCAGTAGGGAAAGCTGCAAGATTTCCAGCCCCACCAACTCCGAGCCTTAACTTAACCCTTCCCAACCTCTGAATGACATTTTCTCCATTCTCCAATTATATGAGGGCAAGCCATGGTGGCACATGTCAGTAATCCCAGCACTCAGGAGACAAAGACAGGAAGATCACAAATAATGTGATTAAACTGATAGCAATCCACGGAATCAGCTTAATGACCAAAGGAATGTATTTGGGGGTAAACTCACAACCACGGGAGATTTATCATAGGGTCTGGAAAGCTGAGCTATGTCCCATGCTGAGCAGCTTGGTCCAAGATCTCAGCATCCAAACCATGAGGTAGCCAAGAGACACTGCGCATCCCAGGTCTTCAGGGACCCCCAGCGGCCACGCCCCAGGGGCAGGTACCTTAAGGTCATAGGCAGGTGTCACAGCTACAGCTGCCTTACTGGGGGCGGTGCTTCAGGGCATGGCTCAAACAGCTACCACTACACACAAATTGGGATCAAGCCTTATCTACACAGCAAGACTTTGTCAATAGATAAATATGCAAATAAGAAAAGAAAGAAAGCCAGTATGGTGACGCAAGCCTTTAATCCCAGCACTTGGGAAGCAGAGGCAGGCAGACTTCTGTGAGTTTGAGACCAGACAGGTCTGCATCGTGAGTTCCTGGCGAGCTAAGGGACACAGTGTGACCCTGCCCCAAAAAAAGAAAAAGAAGAAAACAGATAATATCCAAATCATAGAAACAACACCCAATACAAGTAAAGGGATAAATAGTTCTGAGTTTCTCCATGAAGCAGGATGCTTTTCAGCAGAAAACCAAATAAAGTGTAGTATGCAGGCAACAGACATGGACTTTCACCATCAGAGGCCTGTGGGAAAAGGGAAGCCTTTTCATTGTAGAAATTTACCTAAAATTTAGGTAAATTTACCTAAAATTCTAGACAGACAGCATGGTCAAACAATATAATGTTAACACAAGGGAGCAACACGGGGGAATGACTGGTGCAGCAGTTCCTCCAGACGCGGGAAAGCGGTGTGGTGGGGGCACCCAGGAGTCCTCAAAGGTACCACACCAGCCTCCTTTCCACATTAGGTGATAGATGCATGGAAAGCCAGGCATGATGGCACATGCCTGTCACCCCAGCATGTAGGAACTACAGGGAGAGGATTCAGGGATAGCCTCTGCTACTTAGTGAAGTCAAGGCTAGCTTGGTCTCCATGAGACCCTAACTCAAAAAAACAAAACAGGGCTGGAGAGATGGCTCGACCATTAAGAGCACTTGTTGCTGTTACAGAGAGCCCAGGTTCAGTTCCTACATGACAGCTCACAACAGTCCATAACTCCAGTTCCAGGAGATCTGACACCCGCTTCTGACCTCCGAGGGCACCAGGCAAGCATGTGGTACACAAAATTAGATGCAGGCAAAACACTCAGATACATAAATAAAATAAATCTTCAAAAATAATACAAAGGATAACATAGACAAGGTTTTAAAAATTATTATTGGGAGCTGGAGAGATAACTCAGCAGTTAAGAGCACTGGCTGCTCTTTCAGAGGATCCTGGTTTGATTTCTAGCACCCACACTGCAGTTCACAACCATCTGTAACTCCAGTTCCAGGGGTCCTAAGCCCCTTCTGGCCTCCTGGGGCACCAGACATGCACATGGTATGCAAAACACCAATGCATATAAATAAGATAACTAAAAAAAAATAAGTAAAGTCAATAAAATTATTGCGATCATTTTTTAGGCTGAACATGTTCAGTTGTATCTGTAGTGTCTTTTACTATAAAATCATTTTATTAAACAGCCAGCATTCTTAGGAGACACCTACATTTGACAAGGCAGGTGTAACATGACTAAAGTATTGATACTCGGTAATAAGCACGTAGTTTTGAGTGTTTTGGCTTCCTGAGCCTCAGTTTCCCTATATACAAGCATGCTGGTGACACAAAAGACTTTGTCCTCCATGTGCAGGTCCTGGGGTCCCTTTCTCCCTCTCCTCTGCCCCTCTCTCTTTTCTGGCACACACACACACACACACACACACACACACACACACACACACACACACAGCCAGGCTTCCTCTGCCCTGGGCCAACAATGGTTCCCAGAATGCTGACAGTGGTCCCTGGTGCTCTGGAATGGGATCTCCTGGTCTTAGTCTCTCTGGCTGAGGCCATCCAGCCTTCTCTGCATCTCTCAGGGGTAAATGGAGCTAGCAGGATAGCTCCTGCCTGTAACTGCAGCACTCAGGAGGCTGAGGTAGGAGGCCACTGGGTTGTTCAAGGCCAGCATGGGCTGTGTAGCTTGACCTTGTACCAGAAAGAGTGACGAAACCCAAAGGAAATACAGAGCAGAAGGATCTGCTACCTAAGCCCCAGGCAGATGCAGTAAAGGGCTGTGCTCATCTGAGGGATCTTGACCAGTGACCTGTCGCCTCTTGAGAGTGAGGGATAGGATGAGTTTTGCAGTGTGCTTACCAGCACTCTTCATGAACTCTCCCATGGAGATTGGTGTCAATGTCCCTCCTTTCTCTGGTTTTCCTCCACCACTGTGCATCTGTGGTGGTGGTGCCCTCCTGCCTTGGGAAAGTATTTATTTCAGGAAAAGTGTCTCTGGCCCCGAGTGTGGTTGCATCTCTGAACCGGCTTCAGACACAGGCTATGGAACTGAAATGGAGTGTCCTGGTCTCCACCAGACAGGAAGGTGCCACCTCCAATGGCTCTGGCCCCACTTGGAAGTCTGGACCAGGCCGGTGGACCTGTCAAGTTGTTGAGCTGAACCATCGAGGCCGTGCTATTCCGGTTTTGCACAGTGCGCAGAACCTGCTTCTGCAGAGTCTGCCTCCCTTAAGCAGTCGGGTGGCACAAGCTCCGGGCCGCCCAGACTTGGAGGGGCCAGGGGCGTGGCTAAGGATGCTTGGGCGGGGTCTGGTCAGGGACGGGGCGGGACCAGCGCGGGTCTGCCGGGGGCGGGGCCGGGGCAGGAGCGGGGCGGAGCAGGAAGGGGCGGCGGCCCTGCCCGGCTTCCGCGTCACGGCCCTTAAAGCACCTGCCCGCCTGTCGCGGCTACGAAGGTGCCATCCGACCTCGGGACTTGGCTCCATGGACACTCTACGGGCTGCGTCCGGCGCTCGGCGGGGTGAGTGAGTGCTGCGGGGTGGGACCGGTGGTACGCTGCGATGGGACTGACCTCAGGGGGGTCGCGGGCCGCGTCTCCATCGCGGATCACCGGGACCCCGCCGAGTTCACCCTGGTGAGTGGAGTGGGCTGTCTTAGGGCACCCAGCATGCGCGAGGCTCTAGCCGGGACCGCCTCGCGTCACCGGGCCCGGTAGCCAACCAGAGTCTCCCAGCAACTTTTCTCCCTGTGGGTCACCCCGGAAACTTGTCCTTCCTGGAATGGGACTCCGGCTCTGGGCTCTTAGTATGGGAGTGAAGAACGAAGGCGATGGCCACAACGGGGAAGCCCCTGAGTCCCCTGCGCACTTCCAGCCCCCAGTTTCCTTCTGAGAGCCCCACCCCTGCCTCTTGGGTCCCTTGGGTTGGCGTGGATCAGGACGGGTTTGGGGGTGGAGTCAGACAAGTTCAAATTTTTTTTGTGTGACAAACTATGAGTTGACGACCTTGAGTAAATTCTTACTGACTGTGCCTCAGTTTCCCTCATATGAGAATAACTCCTTGCCGAGAGCTCTTGAGAGCGCAGCCTAAGCTGGCACGTGAGGATGGCTTTGGATAGTGTCACCTCGGTTCATGTTGCCTCATCCTGTGGGGGAGAGAAGCAGAAAGAGAGAGCTACATTGGGTATTCCTTGCCCCTAACCCTGTGGTCTGGTCAATAGGAGCTGTGATGGACGCCTTCCAAGAATCTGAGATATGAGTGACCCCCGTGGAAAGAAGCCTGTCCAAGAAGCCAGCCCCACCATGAGTCTGTGGGATCTTGAAGACAGCCACAGCTGCCGGGGTCGCCCTCAACCACCCCAGGATCCTGAGGCTAAAGAGGCCTCTGCTGAGTTGCAGATGAAGGTGGACTTTTTCCGAAAACTGGGCTACTCGTCCTCCGAGATCCACAGTGTCCTGCAGAAGCTGGGGGTCCAAGCGGACACCAACACCGTGCTGGGGGAGCTGGTGAAGCATGGTTCAGCTACTGAGCGAGAGTGCCAGGCCTCGACAGACCCTTGTCCCCAGCCCCCTCTGGTGCCCAGGGGCGGAAGCACCCCCAAGCCTTCCTCTCTAGAACCTTCACTCCCAGAGGAGGACAAGGAGGGCAGTGACTTGAGACCTGTGGTCATCGATGGAAGCAATGTGGCCATGAGGTATGTGTCACTTCTGTGGAGAGAACCTGTGGAATAGCATCTGTGGCTCTTCCTTCGGGTCGGGGGGGGGGGGGGGGGGAAGCTTTGCTTGCTTTGTGGACTGGTGAGGGAGTGCAGACACTCTCTGTGAGGTCCCACCATGTGCCAGGAGGCTCCCTGAAGCCTTAAGACTTCTTGGGGTATTGCATGAATGTCCTAAGAAGGAAAATGGGAGCTCAAACCCTTTTCCAGGCATGCTCCTTGATAAATGGGAAGCAAGGATTGAAACTCAGCCTTCTGTGTGCAGAGTGTACCTTGTACCATACTCTCCCCTGAGACCAGTCTTGCCTATGACATGAGGCAGGACAGTGCGGGGGTATTCACCTGAGTGCTTGAGCTTTCGGGGAGCTTAACAGGTTGAGCCATCTCTTGACTCTGTCAGTCTTTCCTCTCAGGTGGCCCTTGTGGGGAGAAAATACAAAGACCACAGAGAGTTGCAAGTCCTAAGTAAACAGTTGTTGTTATTCAGTGGCCGAGTCCTCTGGGACTAAGCGAGGCTTAGTTAGCTAGCTATTGAGAGCTTCCTAGCCCTGACCAGGTGGAATCTATTGATTCCACCAGATCTGGTTCCATGGGTGTGTGCAGGTGGCCTGATGCTCTGGGCTCACGTGAGCCCTGATGGGATCTATATTGCCTGAACTGACGCTGCTTGGGCTGGACTGATCTCTGGGGGTTCCCAGACCTCAGTGCTTGTCGCCTTGGCAGATCTCACGGGGAATGGGGTGGGGAGGAGGCACAATATGAGCCAGGCTGCCTCTGACCTTAAGGAGCCCTTGACTTCTCCCTTCTATCCAGGCCGCACCCTCCAGCCCTGCTTTCTCCCAGTTCCCTGCACAACGGGCTGGTGAGTCAGGACTGGGTGGATCACACACAAGGAAAAGTTCCTGTTGGCAGAGACCAGGGGAGACCCCAGCAAGAGAACAGGAAGAGGGGAAGTCGCCTTCCCAGTTGCCCTGAGGGCTCTCCCAAGTGGACTGCCCAACCTGTAATGATGTCAGCTTCTTCCCTACCTGGCATTTGGGCCTACCTACTCCCAGCCCGGCTGGGTCAATCATGTGAGCTGTCCAGCTGGTCCTGGCCCTACTTAGCTGGTGCACGGGGCGGGGGCAGCCCACCCTCTTCTACACCTTTGGGTCTAGCTTCACATCTTTAAAATGGGCTGATCTTGGGTGGAAGGCTGAGAATCGCTGGCTTCTGTGCCAGAGGGCAGCGGGTCAAACTTGTACATTCAGAGTCTGGAGTTCTCTCTGAGGTTCTGAAATAGGGTAGGAATTAGGAGGGGTCTGACTTTCCCTACGAGTCATGGGCTGGGTGTTAGGAGTCTTGTGGGCAGCCATGTGCTATGTGTATTTGTGTCCTGGGCAGGGGAAGGAGGGGCCTGGACTGGAGGAGGGGCAGTGGTGGAGGGGTTCGGGGAGAGCTGATACCAAAGAGACAGACAGCTACTGTCTGCTGGCCCGTCTGCCCGCCTGCCTATCTGCTGGGGGTTTCTGAGCTTGGGGTGGCCGCGGAAGGGGAATTCCAGCCTCACACTTCCTGTCTCCGCAGCTGCTTGGTTCCTACCCTACTGCTCCCCACACACACAAGGGCAGGCCAGCTAGCCCCCACCATATGCAAATCGTGGGGAAATTCACCTCTGTTTCCTTCTAAGGGAATTTTCCTCCACTCGCTAGGCCCAGCCCAGGCAGTTCTTTCCACCTGGGGAGGCTAGCCCTGCCTTCTCCTTGGGCAGGAGCTGGAGTCTTCCACATACAGAGCCCATCAGGCTGGGAGCCCTGACCTGTGGGTCTGCGGGACTCTGAGGGTGGGAGGAAGTTGGTTTTCCTGGGCCAACCAAGCTTCCTGCATTGCAGTGAGCTGAATGAGCCGTCCAGGCGTTCTGGGCCTCCGGCCTCAAGTGCTCTCTCTGCCAAGAATAGGGCTATGACTACCTGCTGTGGGAACATTCCAGTGCCAGCACTGCTGAGAGTGGACTTGTCCCCAGCCGTGGTTTTAAATGCCCAGAGGCAGTACACAACCTAAGATCCCTGGCATCGTGAGATCCTCAAGCTTGACTTTGCTGGTCCAGGAGGGGCCCATGAATACATAGCGAGGTCAGAGGACAGGTGGACACTGCACACTCAGGGCAGTGAGCCATGAGGCAGATGACTACCTCACATCTGGGGGAGACAAGAGAGTGCCCAGGGAAGGAAACAGAATGATGGGGCAAGGCTGGACATTGTGAAGCCACAGACGGGGACCTGCCCTGGAAAGCGAGGAAGGGCTTCTCAGAGGTTTTGACATGTCACCTGGCTTCCAGAAGGAAGTGCAAGAATTTGCCAAGAGTCCATCATTTCTCTCTGGTTCCAAGGATGCCCCCTCCTCTCCATATGCAGAATGCGCATCACTGATACTTGAGTTCAGAGACTACTTTTCTCTCACGTAAACTCTGGGTCTTCCATAAGAGACAAGATGGCAGTCCAGTAGCCCCACACCCCAGCTCGGCTTTCACCTCTTAGCACTAGCCAGGGAACTTGTACGTGTCGTGGAGTCTTCATTCCCAGCACTGAAAGGTCTGGATGACCCCTGTGCCTTTCCCAACCATCAGGGCTGCTGGTACCTAAATGCCAGCCAGAGTGGTTCTGATCACTGGCTGCTGTGTGACCCTGGTGACTTAGTCTCTGGATCATCTGAACAGAGGGGAAGGGGAGGGTAATTGCAGTACTTCTTGGGGGCTTGCTCATGATCCTGGGGGAACATAGAATGGCCAGGTTTGCAACTCCCCGAGAGTGTTAACTCTATTATGAGCAGGCTACATGGGAGTCAGGGAACCAGGAAGGTGTGAGTGCTACCTTGGGGGTGAACTTTGTTTCTTCTACAATTCAAAGACTTCTAGACTTTGGAGCCTCTTCCCCCGCCCCCCAGATAGCCTCCATGCCTCCAGTTACCCCACTTCCCACTCTATGTTCTCTTGGGGCTCCAACTCTCACTCCCCCAAAGCTACCCACAGGATGTGGTCTGCCATGGACTTGCCTCTTTTGCGTAACATTTATTCTGTTTTATTTGCCAAATATGAGTCTGAGTTGCTCACTATGGTGCTAACCAGAGGCTGGGATTGCGGGGGAGGGAGTCCCCCTTCAGAACTTCCAGGAACTCCACCGTACCAGCTGTCTTTAGCCTCAAGCCTTAGGGAAGTTTGTCCCCTGCTGTGAAATGGCTTGTCTAAGGAAAGATGCTGTCCACAAAGCGTGTGGGCAGAGACCCAGACCAGGGCAACCTAGGAACCAGCTCGGCTGCTTCTGAGGAAAGCCATGTTTAGATAGAAGAAGGCCAAGGCCTGACGCCCCAGCCCTCCTTGTGAGCAAGCAGAGTTCCCCAGCAATTTCCTGCCCATCTTTCTGCCAGGAGTCACACCCTCCTTGGGGCGGGGGGGGGGGGGCAGAGTGTGAGGGGGGAGAAGAGGACACACAGACATGCAGGGAGGGCAGGCTTGCGGGGAATTGGCCTCTTGAGAGGAAAAGAGATGGCCTTTCACTTTCACCCGGAAGAGCTCCTGGAGTGCCTCCTGGCTGTTATTTCCTGACTCCTGTGGAAGCATGACACCCCATGCTCCTTCCCTGCACCCTTTGGGGACCCAAGCTAAGACCTTGTGCACAGACTGAACTTTAATCCAGAACAGTCTGGTTTTTTCTCCTGCTTTACGTGGCTGGTGCCTCCCCCGCCTCCTTCGCTGGTACCTCCTTGCTATGTAGTGTTGAGGTGACTCAGCCCACGTGTGCACATCTGTGTCCCGTGGTCCCTGTAGCTCCTGGGTGGGGCAGGATCCCCAAGTCTCCCATCACCTTTCCCCACCCCCAGGTATGTTGCAAGTGGCCTGACCCTCCCCCTCTACGTGGGGAGCCAGTGTGGCTAGATTCCTGGGTGGATCCACACTTTGAGATGGAATCTTAGGGAAAGTCCCAACTAGGGCTGGCCACCAGGCGCTGTGGGAACCGGCCCAGGGACAAGGCCTTAGGCCCTACTGGCAGAGGGCCAGGGCTTGAGTCCTGCAGCTGCCCAGCAAGGCCAAGCAGGGCTAGAGCATGGCCCACTTCCCACTTCTGCTCCAGCCTGGGTGACCACAGACTGGCCACTCTGTGAGCTGACATGTCCCTCTTCTGCCAGCCACGGAAACAAGGAAGTCTTCTCTTGCCGGGGCATACTACTGGCTGTGAACTGGTTTCTGGAGCGGGGCCACACAGACATCACCGTGTTTGTACCATCTTGGAGGAAGGAACAGCCTCGGCCAGATGTGCCCATCACAGGTATGGATGCCGTCTGGAAGAGGACAGCCTCACTGTACCAGGGACCCTGGTGCTCCTCAAAAGAGTCACTGAATAGGGCCAGCACCTTCTAGATTGTAAACAAGGATCAGTCTCTTTTTCCAACACCTGCTACCTTCAGCGGCCCAGCTCAGACAGGAATGGCTAGAAGTCACCTTGTGCAGCCTTGGGGTATCTCCCTCATCCTACTGGAGGGGTGTCCCTTGTTCAGCCTCCCCAGTGGCAGATGGGCAGTATAGCTTCATGATTGAGACTGTGGGCGCTAGTCCAAGAAGATGGGGTGAGAGGCTTGGCCCCGAGTAACCCAGGCGAGGGTCTTAAGTAGCTATGCTCCGAGCCATGGGCTCTTCCTCTGTGAAGTGGGGCAGGGTGGCGGTGTGCTGACAGTACCCACCAAACACTGCTGAAGGAGCAGCTGAGATGGCACGGCAGTGCCTGACCCAGCGCAGTGTGAATGCTTGGTATGTTCGAGCTGTGGCCACCACCCTCACGAGAGCCCCCACCTTGAGGAGGAGGAGGAGGGAGTGACCGGACAACTTCTCTGGAAGTCTGCGGGTCTGGGCCAGGCTGGGGACTCTGGGCCTCTTCTGAACAAGCCTGGGAGCATTGTTCTGAGTGTATAAGGGACAGGGCCAAGACACTTCTTCCTAGACCCCTGTGGTACAGGCATGGCACACGAGTCGGAGGGGAAGCAGGAAGAGCCGCTCTGGGCTCGGCACCCGTGCTGAACGGGATGGTCCTGCGCACAGGTGCGCTCGGTTTCCACGTGGCTGACTGGTTTCTGTCCTCTTGAAACTGGTGTGAACAGCCTCTGGAGTCCGGCCACTATGACATGGAGCCCTGTGGATGTCCCAAGATGCCCAGTGGCCCCTGACCTGGACCTCTGTCATCCCCCAGACCAGCACATTCTGCGGGAACTCGAGAAGAAGAAGATCCTGGTGTTCACGCCATCCAGGCGTGTAGGTGGCAAGCGCGTGGTGTGCTATGATGACCGCTTCATTGTGAAGCTGGCCTTCGAATCCGACGGGGTGGTAGTCTCCAACGACACATACCGGGACCTCCAAGGCGAGAGGCAGGACTGGAAGCGCTTCATCGAGGAGCGGCTGCTCATGTACTCTTTCGTCAATGACAAGTGCGTTACTGCCGGAGGACTGGGAGAGATACTGGGGGTGGACTCTGCGGGGCCCATGGTCTGGGTTGCAACTTTTGGAGGTGACGTGAGTAGTGGAGAGAAGGCTGAGGCCAGTAGAACTCTTTGCTTGGGGGATGGGGGTTGACACTAGCTTGAGATAGGCCCAATGAGTTCCTAGATGGCTTTCTCAAGAAAGTCTATGGCAGCGTACATCCCAGGATGCAGTTAGCTTGTGGTCTCTCGGTACCCTGAGAGCTCCCAGCCTGAGGAATGCCTGAAGGTAATCCTGAGCTATACCCTCTGAACTGAGGGATCCCCTCTTCCTTTGGGGTACCTGAAGACAGGCAGTTTTGGGGCCTGATCTACTCTTCCCAGGAAGGCTGGCTATCTAGCCCTTTCTTTGTCCCTCTTCATGATTTCTTTCTCCTGAGCGTTCCTTTCATCTGCTGCAGGTTCATGCCCCCTGATGACCCTTTGGGACGGCATGGGCCTAGCCTGGACAACTTCCTGCGTAAGAAGCCACTGCCTTCTGAACACAGGAAGCAGCCATGTCCCTATGGTGAGACCCAGCTCTGTCTTCAATAGCCCTTTGTACCCCACCTTTCCTCTTGCCTGCCCATCCACCTAGGTAGGCCTGCCTGTGCCCTGGTGGCTTCCTTGTGGGGACCACATGTACTAGGCCACCTAAACCCCAAGTCCCTGTGCCTCCTCTTCCCTCTGGACCCATTTAGAGACATTCTCCATCCTTCTTGCAGGGAGGAAGTGTACCTACGGAATCAAGTGCCGGTTCTTCCACCCTGAGCGGCCCAGCCGCCCCCAGCGCTCTGTGGCTGATGAGCTCCGTGCTAATGCCTTCCTCTCACCCCCCAGGACCCCTGTCAAGGACAAAAGTGGCCAGAGGCCTTCCCCTGCCTCTCAGCCCAGCTCTGTGTCTTCAGAAGCTGAGCAAGGCAGCCTGGATGGGAAAAAACTGGGGGCCAGATCATCCCCAGGCCCCCACCAAGAAGGCTCAACACAGACCTTTACTCCATCTGGCAGGAGCCTCCCTGTTAGTGGGAGCAGCTTGGGGCCCACAGAGTGGCTCCCACACACCCTGGACTCACTCCCGTACACCTCCAAGGAGTGCCTTGATTCAGGCATTGGCTCCCTGGAGAGCCAGATGTCAGAATTATGGGGGGTGCGAGGAGGCACCCCTGGGGACTCGGGCCCTACTCGGGGCCCTTACGCTGGTTATCATACCTATGGGTCTGAGCTGCCAGCAGCACCTGCCTTTTCTCCCTTTAGACAGCCCCTGGGTGCTGGCCACTTCAGTGTCCCCACTGACTATGTGCCCCAGCTTCCCACCTTTCCAGCCAGAGAGTACTGGTCTGAGCCATACCCTTTGCCCTCGCCCACCCCGGTCCTTCAGGAGCCCCAGAGACCCAGCCCAGGAGCTAGCAGGGGCCCCTGGGGAAGGGCGAATGAAAGGGCCAAAGAAAGGGCCGGTGTGTACACCAAGTTGTGTGGTGTCTTTCCCCCACACCTGGTAGAAGCAGTGATGGGGCGCTTCCCGCAGCTCCTGGACCCCCAGCAGCTGGCCGCCGAGATTCTTTCTTACAAGTCCCAGCACCTCAGCGAGTAAGCCAGAAGGTGGCGCAAGGGGCTGTTGGGCATCACAGGTCGGTACCCAGCCCCTGGCCCACCCTGGAAGCTGGACAGAGGGACGAGTGGAGCAGGCAAGAGAATCCTCAAACCAAAGATACCATAGGATTGGTTCTGGCCCTGTGGCACCTCTATCCCGCATGGGTCAGAAGCGATCACCCTGTTGATACACATTGTATCTCTGTCATTTAAGGAGACGCTGCCGGTCAGGCCGTCCATCCGTGGCTGATGCCCAAACCCTCTTTTTTTTTCTCAGAGGGCGGGGAGGGAGGCCTGGGGGAGCAGAGGCCTGAACTAGACCCCACCCTCCACCCTGTCCCTGGGACGCCGGCACCACCGGCTAGTTGGGCACCATGTGCCTGCCCTCCGAGGCCCCCCTCAAGCAATGCGGCTTCATCCCTGTTCACAGGGCATGAGGCTTCATGTTAGTAAGCAAGATGCTTCTTATAACCCACCCGCCCGCTCTGTCCACCTACCCCGTCACCCCACCAGGGCTCCAAGGCCCTCTCTCCCCACACCTATTACCTTTCCCCACGGGTGGGAGGACACATGTATGCTATGTACAGGAAAAAAATTGAAATATTTTAAATGGAAAGAATGACAAAAATAAAGGATATTGAAAGTCCTTGCAAGAGATCGTTGTCTTTGGTGTCCTTGGGGGGCAGAGCTAACCTGGAATGACAAGAGGCCAGTAGGGCAGGTGGCCTCAAGTTTTCACCCTGGGGGAGCCATCTGATGTCACTCCCTGTCCTCAGAAAGGAGGCTTTCCAGAACTGGCTGGTCCCTTGGAGCTGAGCCTGGGTAGGAGGTGAGGTGTCCCTGGGCCACAGCAGGTGACGGGTACAGGAAGCAGAAGTATAACATCATAGAACCCTGAGGTTTCAGCTGGATGGGGTGACCCTGGTGGGGGGGGGCTGTTCCCCTTTTCTATGCTGACGAAAATTGAGGGTAGGAAATAGGGAAATGACCTGCCAGGTTATAGCTCCAGAGGGTGGGGAATCTAAGTGGGTGTGAGACAGCCCTTGGGTACTGCACTCCGGGCCTTCCTCCTAGATCTGTGTCCAAAGAACAAGGGTGGCAGAGCAGGGTTGGAGAGAGCTGGGGTAGGGGCAGCAGCATGGAGAGGCCCTGCCACTGACTCTGCCAGCTGGAGCCAAGGGACTGTCCCTCCCAGACCTCAGTTTCCTCATCTATGAAATGGGAATACTAATGGCAGCTACCTTACAGGTTTGTCATGAGGACTCAGTGAGATAATACGTGCTGGGTGTGTGGCCTGCCTCCTGCCACACAAGAACTGCTCATTAAGAGGCCTCCAAAAGTGTGACTCTTGTGGGTGGGTTCACAGGACTGACCCCATCCACCACGTCAAACAGCTCACCAGCCTAGACAAGCCCAGGCAAGATGATACTTCTCTTCCCTCCTCCTCCCTGCTCCAACCTCAAAAATGAACATGAGTATTAAATATTTTAAATGAAAGACTAGGCTGTCACACAGTCCCCAAACAGGGAAAATGGAAAAAATTACAGCTTTAATAATGCTACCTGTGAACAATTCCTCTGATTTGTACTTAATGGCCAGTACAGCTATATTTTGTTTTAAAAACTACAGAACAGCTGTGATACTGAGGAAGAAAATGTCACCCCAGAGGCCCTGACCACCAGCTCCTGACCACCCTTTCAGAAGTCCCTGCTTAAGGCAGGGATAGGGTACTTCGGCATGCGTGGGCTGGAAGCCTCCCTCCCACAGGCACTCAAGATGTCTGTCCCAAGCGGTTCCTCCAGCCTCCTCAGGTGGTTTATCAGCATAAAACCTTACTTAGACTTTACAACCAAACTACAGTTTGCAGTCCAGGGAGCTGGGAATGTAGCCAATCATGCACGGAGTTCACGACTGGGCACCTGGTGCTGGGGCATGCACCTGCAATCCAGCATCTGGGAAGAAGACAAGGGAGGGCCAGGGTTCAAGGCCATCTTTGGTTGCAAAGCAAGGTCCAGGCCGACCTCTCAAACAACATGAAACAAAACACACAAGACACACAAACACCCCAATGTGTTCTCACATTAAAAGGCTTATTTACGGGCATCTGTTTGTCTTTATGGGATAGGAAGCTAAAATACCGGACCGTCTGGTTCATTATCAGCTGCTTGGCAATGCTGAGTGCCTTGCCCACGGTCCCACGGAGGAAGGCAGGCTGGGGCAGGGCTTTCAGTACTCGTCCCTATCCCAAAATCTGACACCAGTCTACTGTGACTCAAGCCCCTGCAGATATGGGAAGAAATGTCCTCCCAGAGAGACAACTATAACGACCTCTGGCTCAGCCACTCAGTAGGGCCCAGTCTCTCTCTGTACAACATAATGGCGCCTGAGGGTCGTGAGAATCAGGGGTCCTCTGGAAGGGGAAGTGGGAAACTCCCCCGCCTGCTTCCTTCGCCAGAGTTGAAGTCGTTTGCCAACTGTCCCGTGGAGGTGGCAAATGAGGTGGTCCCACAGGCAGCCAGGCAGCCGCGTTAGTACCAGCAGGCTGTGGTTAATGTCAGGAAGCAGGGCCTGGCCCGGCTAGTTCCCTGACAAGAACCAACGAGGACTCCACATCCACACCGAAGGTGCCAAATGGGGCTGGGCCCTGGGGAAGAGAAGAGGGTCAGCTCGGGCCCGCTGATGCGTGACCTGGTACCCGTGCTTCCCGACAGCTCGGCTCAGCTGGGCCAGCCGGCCACAGAGCCATGCCTCCAGGCCTCTTTCTCAACCTAGCTTCCGGGCAGGGCAATGCAGGCAGCCAGGCTCAAAGGCAAGGCTGCTGCTTCTCGGTGACCTGCTTCAGCCTTAACTGCAAAGCTCTCACCAGCTCTGTCCCCTTGGCCCACGAAAGCAGCATAGATGGGTGGTGCTGAGTCACGGGGCCTTGGCCTCCCACCTGTCAACAGGACACAAAGCCACACCACCCATCTAGATACTGCAAGGGGATACCTTAGCTAGTGGCAGTCGGACCCCAGTTCAAGTCCCATTCACTAGCTGGGCAGCCCTGGGCAACTCACCACCCTTCTCACAGGGCCTCGGCTGCCTGACCCACAGGGATCCATGTGTGAGCTTAACGGGAGAGGGTGGCCGGGACAGAATGTGACTCCTGAGACCAAAGCTCAAGCCACCAGGCATGCTGCAAGGGATCAAATTCCAAGTAGCTGCCCCAGTTGCTCTTTCCTGCTGCCTTTCCTGGTCACTTGAGCCAAGAGGCCGATGGGGAAACTGGTGTGTATGCAAATTCCCACTGTTGGGAAATGATCCCCAGGAGCGGGGCCTTCCCACAGGCCCTGCCCTACTAGTGCCAGCAGGTGCTGGCCCCTAGGTGCTTCGGCAAGCTCTGCCCCACAAGATTAACCCCTTCACAAGGGGGGCCCCAGCCTGCTCAGAAGCCAAACAACTGCAGTCCGCCTTCGCCGCCGGTAGCCTGATATAGGAAATCTCTGTACTCCCTGCCAGACTGAGCCAGCCCAAAATGGAATGAAGCAGCCCCTGCTCCGGACGTCCATGTCTACTCAGTCCCCATCGGGCTTCTTCAGGACATGGGAGGACCTGGCGGTCCCTGAAGATCCTGGTACCTACAGAGCCACTGTGCAAAGCCCACCTGGAGCTGCTAACGCCCCAAACTGCTGGTGTCTTTCAGGGGGTGAGGGAAGCCAGCAGCTGGGACGAGGCCAGCACCCATCTCTGAAGCTCCATTTCTCACTTCCTTTTTCCCCCCGCCACTCTCCCCAGAAAGAGCCTGAACAAAAGGGTAACCCCCTGTCTCAAGGAGGTGTTGGGTAAAGAAGTGAGCAGACAGAACTTGAGGGGAGGGTCATTAGCTAAGCCTTGCCAGAGGAAGGTGGCCCAAGGACCCTGGAGCCTTTGTCCCAGGCTTCAACTCCTGGCTCATCTTCTGTCATTGGCTCACAGCAGACTGGGTGACAAGAACCTGTCCTGGGGACCTCCTACTTCATGGAAAGGGTGTGGGAGATTTGGCCGAAAGAGGCAGGAAGTAGGCCCCTGTCATTAAGAAAGCCCAAGCTATCCTAGGCCATGGCATGTAAATCCTTGCAGCCAGTTCCTGGAGGGGGAGGAGGTCCAGGGTGTGCCTCCTGAAGCTGCTAGCAAGGCAGCCGCTGGTGATCCTAAACAATTTAAGAAACAGCAAGGAGACTCTGTAGGAGGAAAGGCTTAGGCAACCAAGCCCACAATACACCAAGCAGGCAGCACCCTGCTGCCGCCTTCTGGCAGCTCCCGGTACTACTACTACTGCCTGGAGTGAGCAGCTTGCCCACCTGGAACTGCCAGTGTCTTTCAGGGGGCAAGGGTAGGAGTGGCTGCATGAGGTTTGAGAGACTGGGCTCTGGAGATCTGGCTGTCTGGAAGAATGGGCAAAACAGAGCACTGACATGGACAGGGAACCCCTTTTGGCTTTTGTTTTCAGACAGGGTCTCAGTATGTAGTGCAGAACTGTGTCAAGCTCACAGTCCTCTTAGCTCGTAAAGGTGTGTGCTTTTTGTTTAAGCAGTGAATTTTCAAAAGTTCTTCTTCTTTTTTTTCTTTTGCTTTTTTGAGACAGAGTTTCTCTATGTAACAGTCCTGGCTGTCGTGGAACTTGCTCTGTAGACCAGGCTGGCCCACCTGCCTTTGCCTCCCAACTGCTGGGATTAAAGGTGTGCCCAGCTGCCAAGAAAATTCTTGGGCAGGAGGTATAGCTGAGTGGTTGAGTATTTGCTCAACATGTATCAATCCCCTAGTTCGACCCTCAACATGTGTTGCACACACACACACAACTGGAAGAATAAGGAGAAAAATTACAATTACATATACTTAATAAAGTCACCATGAGTTGCTATTCCAAAATAATTGAAAGGGCCGGGCGGTGGTGGTGCATGTCTTTAGTCTCAGTACTCAGGAGACACAGGCACATGAATCTCTGAGTTTGAGGCCAGCCTAGTCTACAAAGTGAGTTCTGGGACAGCCAAAGCTACTACACAGAGAAACCCTGTCTCAATGACAGTAGTAGTAGTAGTAGTAACAGAAAGGTCGGAAATGCTGTCATTTGGGCAGGATGTAGGGAAATAGGCAATATCCTATCTAGTGTCAACTCTGGAGACCTGGTACTCCAGGTTACCTAAGAAAACACACACCTCGCCCGGGGGTGGGGGTGGGGGTGGGGCACGCCTTTAATCTCAGCACTCGGGAGGCAGAGCCAGGTAGATCTCTGTGAGTTCGAGGCCAGCCTGGTCTACAGAGCAAGATCCAGGGCAGGCACCAAAACTACACGGAGAAACCCTGTCTCAAAAAAAAAACAAAAAACAAAAAACAAAAAACAAAAAAAAAAGAGAGAGAAAAGAAAAGAAAGAAACACACCTCTTGACTCGGCAATCCTACTAATTTATCCCGAGCCCTCATCTGCAAAAATGATGGAAGGCATTTAAGGACAACAGCTAAATTGGAGACATCAGCCCCATCAATAGAGCATGGGCTGAAGGAACTGGCCCGAGCAGTGGAGTATCAGTCAGTAAAAACGAGGCAGCTGTCTATCTGGAGTCTGTGTCTGCTTTTGTCTTGTCTTCCGGGTAGCCTGGCATAGGAAAGCTGCTGCCTCAGTTTCTCACTTGCTGGT